TCCCTTATCTATAGGGCAACGAATTGTAGGTTTTGAAAATATTTTCAAATTCCCACGTGAAAAAATAAAAAAAAAAATTCTGGTCTGAAATTATGAATAAAATTGTATAGAAATGAGGAGGAAATCACATTGGAAGGGAAGGGAAGGTTGATTCGCGAACTACCCCTTTGCCTCCCTCGGGCTTGCAAGGACGAATTTAGGGGTTGGCGCCGTCAAAAGAAGGTTCCCCGATGGATGGGGTCAGATTCGGTTTTGGGGATATTTTAAAGTCCGTGAACTCAATGTGCCGCGAAATGCTCTGGCCTCCCCTATCCCCTAACCCGCCCCATAATACAGATGCCATATAGATGGATACAAATTGGATACAAATCCCCGGAAACTCTTCATATCTATAACCTCCTCTCGTCTCGGAGGCACCTACATATAGGTCGCCAAGGGGTAGTTTTAAACAATTCGTCGCTCGACCCCTGCCCCATCGCAGCCAGTATATTGCCACGAGGGATATCCCGTTACGATATGAAGGATTTCTTACTTTATGGGCATTACGGGAAAACCCGATAGAGTTTCCCGATCGCAGGATTTCCCGTAGTCGCGTCTCATCGATCTTTCCTCTTCCCTCGCCATTATGCTCGCGACTGGCTGTAACTAAACAATTATTTTACTATTCGTTGCACCACCAACCTACAGATATTATTTATTAACTTTAGCGAGCATATAAGTACCGAGGCAAACCCTTCATTCATGATTTAACGGCTCGTTACGATTTGTCGCCGTAACGTTTCATTGACTTTTTGGCTTTCTTAAGGTGAATTATTATAGAAAATTATTATAGGGGATTATACTCCTCTCTTATTATTCTCAGGATATGGTATGGCCATTTACATATATATATATATAATATTATAGGAGAAAGTAATTGGGTGTACCGATTCTTTTGACATTTTACCACGGAAATTTGGAGGACCTAAAGTAGGTCCAGAAACTCACAAAATTTCATTTTTCATCAAATATTTATTTACTTACCATGGGCTAGAATTTTAAACGAATATCTTTCATATATATATATACACACACATATGTGCTGACTCTTTCGTATCACCTTAACGACCACGTGAATGCATATCAGGGTGTGCGGTAATTCTGAGTAACAGTCGTCGATTCGATAGCAGTTAACAAATTGTTGGGGGATAAATGGAAGGGTTTTGCGGTGCCTTGCAGTAGGGGTTGACAGGGTGGGACGTATAATACATTGTTACCCCATCCACCATGGCACCGTGCCGTAATTCAGCCCATAGTGCTCTTCCACGGGGCTCGGAAGCAACGGGGCGGGGAGAGCTCAACTACCTCATAATTAAAATTATCCTATTATACGGAAGATCTACGACCTTTGCCGGATCCTAAAACGAGGGATGATTTAGGGGAGGGAAGACGCGGCTCTCCGGAATCCCCTACGAGGCGAATCGCGGCCCGAATCAATTTCTCCAATTTTCAATTAAAAAGAAAAGACAACTGGACTTTTTTGTACCAGGGATGACCTTTAACCAACGTGACTCATTTTTGGATGAAACGCAAAATTGCAACATTTTTCAAATCGTTCCATTTTTCCGGAAAATTCAAAATAGCGGCCTTGAAATATTATATATGAAGAATAAGATAAATTTCTTTCGATCATATCCTCAACATCACTGAATCAGTTTATGTACTATGTTTTGCTATATCCCCTGTTTCGCGAAAAAAAAAAGAAAAGTAATCGATGGGGGTGGCGTGTGGCTTTTTGGGGGGTTCGCCTCTCGTTACGCTAAGATTCAGAAAGTTTCGGAAGTAGGTTGGAGAAAAGGGGATTTATCTTAAATGGGGATCCCTGGGGATGAAGGCTTCGGAATCGTACGACTGAGGCAAAGCTTAGCTCTTTGACGACTTATTGATATCGCGAATGTTGCTACCGTTTAAAATTCCCTGCCAGATGATTAAACGTCCAACAAAACATAAGAAAATGATTAAAAAGGAGGTGAAACATCCAAAGTAAAAAATAAAAATGGCGGCGGTGCGTGTCGGCACCCAAAGAGCCCTTGCCAATACGACTTATTGATATCGCGAATGTTGCTGCCATTTGAAATTCCCTGCCAGATGATTAAACGTCCAATAAAAAATTAAGAAAATGATTAAAAAGGAGGTGAAACGTCCAAAGTAAAAAATAAAAATGGCGGCGGTGCGTGTTGGCATCCAAAGAGCCCTTGCTAATACGACTCATTGATATCGCGAATGTTGCTGCCATTTGAAATTCCCTGCCAGATGATTAAACGTCCAATAAAAAATTAAGAAAATGATTAAAAAGGAGGCGAAACGTCTAAAGGAAAAAATAAAAATGGCGGCGGTGCGTGTCGGCAGCTAAAGGGCCTCCGTCGATACGGCCGATAGTCAGGGTAATGACGTGTGCTCGAGAGCGCGCAGCCTCGCGGTGTTTAGCACTTTATCTATCTCCTCGAAGTTATTAATGACACTTGCTGAGTCAGTGCCACGAGGAGCACACCCTGCGGCATCTTCAAAGTTTAATATCCGAACGACCGCACTCTTCCGGCCCTCCGTCTTTCTCGCGCTTTTTCGCATTTCCCCTGCCCCCCTCTCGCTCTTCCGAGTACCGGCACACGAGTAGTACACTCCTGGCCCAAGTCCTGCTCCAATATCCTCGCCCTCGGAGGATCGAGTGCCACCTAGACCACCGAACTCGCCGCAGCCTTTAATTTCGCCACTGCGCGAAATATAGTTCTCCTCGGTGCCGTGGGGCGGCGCAAAGAGCGTCGAGGCCCTCAAAAATTCGCTTGGCCGACACTCAAAGTACGGAATTACCACACTATGGAATCCTAGAATCGATATTAAAGAGTTTCATCGCGAACAATTTGGAATACCGTAGAAATGGAATGTTACAGAGTCATATGGGAAAATGTGGTAAATAACGATTGCAAGCTGTCCTGCAGCTAACGCGTGTTTTTAGAGGGAAATATTTAGTTGCAGCTAAACGTCACAGATTCGTCAAAATATAAACAATCATGAATTTATGGAATTTCGGCAGTTTTACGTCGAGTTTTTTGTCCCTACTTTACCGAAATGACATATAGTACCCTTCGGTTCGTAAAGATATAAAAGTAAAACAATCCGTCTCTAAAAAATATCCAGAAATTCGTGCGAATTGGATCAGGTTAGGTTAGGTTAGGTTAGGTTAGTCGCAAACGATCTGCACATCCTGCAAATAGACACGGACGCGTTCCTCGAGCACGAGAGGCGAGCCGCGTTGGTTTTCTTCGCCGTTGGAATTTTCCACGAAGGAGTTTCTGCTCGACTTTCGCGCCTTTTGTGCCACGGACACATCCCATTCCGATGGACTCGCGATCGCGTCAGCAGAAATGGCCGATTGCGAATTAAGCGAGGAACACGATATGTCGGGTCGTGTCGGTTCGGGTGACAACCTCGGCTCTCAAAGGGGAACGTGGTTGCCGAGAAATGTGCCATCCCCGATTAGCTAATCGGCTTGCCGGTTAATATTGCGCAAACTTCTAGGAGTCGCGAGGGAAATGGCCGGACATAAGAATCACTTATTCGATTGTTCCGTCCGAGAGGAACCTCATTCGTAAAGAAAATTCGATTGAAAGAAATAATGGCAAATAATAATATATAATAATGAGTGGCAATATCACCTGGCGCGTCCCCTCTTTATATATATATTTAAGCCTTTTACAGTATTAACCTTAATACAATTTGGTATCAATAGAAAGTTACAGATAAACCACATATAATCAAATCTAATATCAGTGCAAGCAAGGTATGCAGTTTGGAAGGACCGTTACCAGAAATTACCAATCTAACCTAAAAGTGCGAAGGTAAAACTGTCAATTGAAGCAAAACTGTTAATACGAATCAATATGAAACAATGTCCTAATCTAAACGCTTTTGGTAGGATACTAGTTTAATACGTTGACAATCATCATACATCAACATTACCACTATACATATAACATTCCCAACCCCTAAGTCAGCCTCACTATTCTTCCACTATCCATACCCTGAAAGGAAAGAAGATTGAAAAAGCGAAAAATCGAAAATAGTGGAGTACAAAAGGAAAAAGGCAAACCAGCGCTTCTCGGATTCGCCAGAGGGATGTGGAGGGCGCGGAGGTCGAGCGAGGAGTGAGGAGTGAGGCTCGTGGGGGCGGAAACCTGACGGCAGAGTGGGGGCGGTGGGGAGGGGATGGAGGGGAGGTGGGAGGTTAAAGAGAGGGGCAGAGGGGGAAGGTTTGTTGGTGCATAGAAGAGCGGAAGCTCCGGTGGTGCCTGCCTCTCCAATGAAATGCCGAGCTTGCACATTGCACCTAGAAACGCCGCGAAATGCGGATCGCTGCTAAACCGGAACTTTCCGTTCCGCCCCCCGCCCCTCCACCCCTCTGCCTTTTAATTAATAATACCTGCACGGAGGATCGTTTCCTGGTCCCCCTCTACCTCCCTCTCTCTCTTTTCTTCTCGATGCCTCTCGTGTATTGTTAACGACTTTTTCTGTCGAGGCTATATATATATAAAATTACCATTTCATATCACCTTAAAATTGTGAGATTCGGTGATTTTTCACGGATTCCAATTTGCGATTTTCAGATGATTTTTTCATGTGATTCTCAGCATTAAAGTCCATGACTTTCTCAATTAATAATCCCTCGATAAATCGTATGTCGCTAATTCGTTCAAGTAGGGTGAAGAATATTTCTTTCTCTGAAACCTTTCGATGAATTTTCAAGTTTAATTGACACCGCTATCTACGCTCCACGGTGGACGTCGAAGGCAGCGCCACTTGCGGGAGTCGATCGAAACTTTCGGCTCGAACTTACCGAAACTCACCACTAAAGCTCCCGAAAATATTTCTGCAAGTTGAAAAAGTGGGAAGGGTTAACAGTTAACGCCAGATATTTCGAAACTGTCGATGCCGACGTTTTATTAATAATAATAATCGGTATAATCATCTTTATTTACAGATAAAACGACGTAACGTGAATTAAAAGATCTTTCCACGTCGTGTGCATTGTGGATGGAAAAGAGATGCCAAGAAGAGTCTATGAAGATCTCTGATCCGTCCACAGGAACGCGACTAAACGATAATAATGATGATAATAATAATAATAATATTATTATTAATATTAATTACAATGACAATAAGGTACACGTCACTTAAAAGTACCTAGCCGGGAAAATGTAACGCCAGCTAGGCATGTCAAATAATAAAATTAAAAAAAAAAAATAACTCTGGCCCGATGCGATCCCGCCTTAATTGTTCGCCGACGTGACAACAATTACCGTGAACATTTTTGTGCCTCTTGGAACGATATAGAATAAGGAATTGAAAAGTCGTAAAGAAAATTCTGAAATAAGAGTAATGGATTTCATCGTTTAAGGAAAAAGTGAGAGTTGAAATTGTTTATAAAAAAGTGTAGGTCGGGGAAAATGAGGAAAAGTTAGGGAAAATTAGCCTCCTGCCCGATGGCCCATTTTTTTTTCTCTCTTTTTTTTTTCCTTTCTTCGTAAAATTCTCTCCTTCTCTTTTTGCGCTATGACAATGCTCCGACCCGACGACGGGAATCGCTTTTCCCGTAATCGTTGTTATCGATTACGTCGCTACAGACACGCCTACGATTAAACCTAGTGATACCTTAGTTCCCTTCGAAAGTTTCATCTGTTTATTTATTATTTCTTCCTCCCTTTTATCGTTTTCCTTCGTCCTTTAGCGAAACGCCCTTAAATACGTCTTTTCGAAATAAGAGGCGGGAATGGAAGGAAAGGTAGCCGGACGAGCGCGGGAAATTCAAATCCGTATCCGTCGTTCCGATGAGATCTGATCTTTCGGATATTTTCTCGAGAATTAAAATTCCCCGAGTTTCTGCGACGTCGATATCAAAACCAAGAGGATCAAAATACCAAAGATCGGAAGAGGTCGATACAATGCATAGAAACAAAGGAAATTAAAATCGCGTTCAAATGGGTCGAAGAATTCCGGATTAATTTACCCTTACTTGTGTGTCGTTTTACAATCGATTATTAAAATTCCCCCAAATCAGGCGTTATCGAAACGACGGGATTTCGAGTTCCGTAGCGCTTGTCGTTTCCATTTTTTCGAGGTGGCCCTGACAAATAAAAAAGAATCAAGGCCCTAGCTGTAAAAATACCCGATAAACAATTGTGTCGTATACCCTTATCTCGTTAAAAAATACTTGTCGAATTTCACTGACCGGTCCTCGGGTGAGATTATCGCGGGATTTCATATTTACGCGCTGATTATCGCGGGATTTCATATTTCCGCGCCGATTATTGCGGGATTTCATATTAATGCGCCGATTATTGCTAAAGTCCCAGTGATTCTGACTAGAATTCTGGTTGCGTCTCACAAGATCCCCAGAGGACCCTAGACTCGTTCTTTCAGACGTCTCCCGAATTCGCATCTGCACTGTCAGCAGATTTCACTACTGATCTCGAGAGCACATTTTCTTTGCTGGCCTGATCGACACCGCGGTGTATCAGACATCCTGGTGTCCGTCCATCAGATATCCTGGCTGCAGACATTCCGACTGTTCTTCCGACATGTCGATTCCAGCGAACATCGGCTATACAACATCCTCGTTGCAGACATCCCGCTTCCCGGTTATTTCACATCCTGGCCGAAGACACCCCGGTTGCCGGTCATCCGACATCCTGGTTGGTGGGATATCCTGGCCGAAGACATTCCGATTGCCGCTCAACCGACATCCTTATTGCAGAGAGTGCACTGATCCGTCAACGTGGCCATGGTCCGCCCAACATCCTTGCTGCAGACATCCTACACCCTGTACGAAGACACCGCGGTGCCGCTCATCCGACATCCTGGTTGCAGCTACCCGAAGGTTGCACCCCCTCTCCCGGCCATCAGACACCCCGATAACAGCATCCACAACGAAATCCCCATCCGCCTCACGACCCTGAGACCCCAAGACCCAGACCGAAAACGGACTCCAGGCGATTCAGCACCCTCGCAGGACCCCGATTCCAGGACGCCCTAATCTCGACGAGTCCAGCCTCCACCCTGACCGCCCAATTCCGTCCTCCTGGCGAACCTGCAGGATATCCACCTGCTGGTCTTTGGCAATTGCAACTCTTGAGTCCATCCTTTCAGGGCCAGCAAGCGCCTCCTCGGCGCTGTCGATGTCACAGGTAGACCTCAGGACTCGCGGGTGCAGGTTCGTGCTGTGGATGCTGCGGATGTGGGGGCTGTTGCTGCTGCTGCTGAGCAGCCGGTGCAGTGAGCGACTGCAGTGGAGGAGGCCCCTGCTGATGGTGGCCGTGGTTGTGGTTGTGGTGGTGGCTCTGCCTTACCCTGAGGATCTCGTGCCGCTGGGTGTAGAGGTCCCTCTCCTGTTGCAACTGCGTCAGCTCGATCTTGCACCGCTGCAGCTCGCTCTTAACTCGCTGCAGCTCGTTCTGGAGGTTCCGGTTGGTCGTCTCCAAGTCCTGGCGCTGCTGTAGCCGTTTGCTGCGGCAGTTCTGCGCGTAGCCCCGGTTCTTCAGGGTCCTCCTCTTCTGCTTGAGCCGCATCACCTTAGGAAATGAAGGGAAGCCTCGGTTTACGAACGGCCACGCGTTCCCGGGTGATCGTCGAGAAATTTCTCTGAGGTACTAGTGCGAATTTATCTCGGCCCTCGGACTTGATAAGACGCTGTCGAGGATGGCAATTCGAAGCCAGCGGATTTATGCTTTAAGCCGATACGAAGAGGCCTTTTTTATGAAACTTTTAATATTAACGGGGGGCATCGAATCGTTTCAAAGCTACAACAAGAAATTAATATGTACGACCGAGCGATGAGGAACTCGTTAAAATTTAGATCCTAAATTATACTTTCCACGTCCCTAGATTGCACCGACCTGACTGGGTAAGGCACGTGACCTGTCATTATCTCGAAATCGGACAAAATGCAAATTAGCGGGAGAAAGGATCTTTCGAAATCCTTCCTCCTGGATTCGCTGTCAAGACTCAAAGTTTTCGCACGCTTGGTTGACTATTATACATCCTCGACGGTGTTTTAATAAAACTTACGAGTTCAGCTACCTCGAGGCTTCCCTGCCGAAATTTTCGATACATAGGTGGGCAACTGAGATCCCTTCTTTGCCACAGAATGCACGAAGAGAAACGATTGGCGAGGGGCTGAGATACGACGATCGGATATTTTAAACTCAAGTCAAGGAAAGGTTTAGTTGCCGCTAAACGTCACAGATGGCGACGCAGGTCCTTAACAGTCTTTAGAAAAATGAATTCAAGGGATATCGTCAGTTTTATGGCACCACTTGAGTATTCAAAATGACGTTACCGCCAATAAGGATGTAGATGAATTTAATTTCACCGACGTCGATTTAATGTATCAGCGCCTTTATCACCTTAAGAGGGATATCTTACGTTTTCTCCATTTCATATTTTTTTTAACATACGAAGAGATATCTATTGTCAGCATGTCTGTATAGTTTAAGACAGGCCAATGTCGTTTCTCTCCTTGCATGCCTGTCGTGGCGACGATCAGTGTCCAGGTTAGAGGAAAGATCCTGATAGAGGAAGAGAAAGATCGACTCACCTCCTCCCTCGGGCATCCGTGGAGTCGCTTGTTCAGTTCCCGGACGGAAAGGGACATGAGCAGCTCGTCGTTCATCAGCTCCTCCTGGATGTTGTTGCCGTTGCAGCTGGAGTAGATCCCACTTCCCGATCGGTGTGCAGGACTCAGGGTGCCACCTCTCGACCCCACCGAGCAGACGCTCATCGGCCGCCCTGGCTGCATCATTTGCATACCTTCGTCCATGCCCTGCATCCCGCCTCCACCCGAAGGAAGCATCCCTGCCCCTGCAGGTGCACTCCCGCCATAGTACTCGATGTGCCCAGACACTGTTATGTAGCCTCCTGTAAAAAATAAGATCCCCCATTCCCATATTTTTACTCCAAAATGTTTTCCCCTTGACACTTATAAAAAAAGAGTAAACGCTTCTGGTAAATGTATATTTAACGTAGAGAGAAAAAAAAACCCCGGGGGTAGACAAACGTTTAACATTTGCACCTACCACCCTATTTCTTCTAGATTTACGTATATAAAACCAGAATTCCCCTACTTTCTTTTTTATTGGGTGTGTTTTTTAAGGATCCGTCAATAATCCCTTTGTAGTCGTTTATAAGGAACCTGGAACATCCGCGGAGTGATGCAGAAATTCAAGAGGAGGAACGAAGACTTTCACGAAGAGGAACTATTTTTAAAAAACGATGCTGGTCTTCAAGAACAGCAGAAAAAAATTTTAAGAGAAGGGTACCAACGTTCAAAAGGTGGAGGAGACATTTAAGCAGGGATATCGCGGTCGAGAAGAGGAAAGAAAATTCAATAAGTAATACCTGATGAGGAAGAGTAAGCTGCAGGTGTGATAGCGTAACCGAACTCACCAGGATGCCTGGAGTGTCTAGGTGGGCCCTGGCGTTGCTCCTGGAAGTGGTGATGCGAGGGCGTGGAGGGCCATGGCTCAGGATGGGGCTCCGGGGTCTGATCCTGGGGCCCATGGGGTCGTAGGTCAAGAGGTTCCTGCCTTAAGCTCTGAGTGAGCCACCCCATGCCTCCGGATCCAACCTGCGACCGGAACGCGTTCAAGAGAACCATCAAGGACCCAACCATCATTTGCATACTTACAAGGAAGGTCGATCTCTCCGATATGATTTTTTTTTTTTTATAATATCTTATAGTAGACCAAAAATTAAGCGATAATGCCATTAAACACTTTATGTGAGGAATTTAATTTTCTGCGGAGACCTGACTCTGCAACCTGAACTCTTGCGACGAGACAAGTGGAACGCTTACCTGCATGTCGTCCTGGATAGGGACCGCCTGCTGCAGGTGCACCAGGAGGCCGTTTCGCTCCCTAGGGTTCCGCTCGCTGCAGTGCATCTGCAGGGGTGGCGGCGAGGCCGAGATCGGCGGCGTGTCCGGCGGCGTTCCAGGGTGCGAAAGGGTGGTCAGGTGCGCCGCTGCACCTGGGGGAGCCTTCACCAGCACCCCGTGTTGCACCTGAATATGCGGCTGCCCGTAAAGGGGGTGCGGCTGCTCCAATTCGTGGGCTGGAGGCGTCAATGGCGCCAGCGCCAAACTTTGGACCTGCATCTGGCTCTGCAGTTGCACCACTCCGCTGCCCACCATCACCGTCGGAGAACCCAGGCGCACCTGCAACATCAGTTTCGTGGTCCCTGCCTCAATTTCGCGTCTTCCTGGTCGAGCTGACCGGACCACGTGGTGGCCTCCGTCCGTCTTGTCATGAGATGAACCTGATCATCGGTACCGAGATACAAGGAAGGTATCCCAGGTCGATCGCTCCGATTTCATTTCTTTTATAATATGATATAGTAGACTAAAAACTAAGGGACACGTATTTTTTTTTATCTGCCATTGAACCCTTTAAGGGGGTGAAACCACCATCCAAAGTAAGGCATGTCCAGCGACTCGAGGCCCTCGAGGCATCTCACAAGGAAGGTATCCCAGGTCGATCGCTCCGATTTCATTTCTTTTATAATATGATATAATAGACTAAAAACTAAGGGACCCGTATTTTTTTTTATCTGCCATTGAACCCTTTAAGGGGGTGAAACCACCATCCAAAGTAAGGCATGTCCAGCGACTCGAGGCCCTCGAGGCATCTCACAAGGAAGGTAACCCAGGTCGGTTGCTCCGATTTCATTTCTTTTATAATATGATATAGTAGACTAAAAACTAAGGGACACGTATTTTTTTTTCTCTGCCATTGAACCCTTTAAGGGGGTGAAACCACCCTTATGACAAACATGTTAGAAATGTGGTACGTATGTGTAAGATATTTATTTTAAATTCATCTTTTTTCATTCTTCGCAAATGACTTTTCTTTTTTCTCTCTCTTAAATCGAAGTTGATCTCAGATTAGTTGCACTCAAGTATAAAATAATCTCAAGTTAGTTTACGTATTTGGCGCGAGACTCTATCGAGTTACTCGATCGCAAATGTAAAATACTTTCCAAATTGCAATTCGTACGTAAAAAAAATATCATATATGTTAATCTCACGTGTGAAATAATCTGAAATCTCTTAATCGCAAATTAAAAGCAATATCTAATTAGTTCATCTCTGATAAGTCGATCTTATGGATCAGGGTCCAAGTCGAGAAAAGTTTCGGTCCAGGGACCCGATTCTTGAGATTCCAAATTTTCGCATTCTACTTTCAAATGTTGATCAATGACGCGACTTCGCAATAATGCCAAATTATTCACGGTAACCTATTCGTATGTGAAAAAAAAAAAATCCATATGATTTCAAGAATCAGGTCCCAGGTCGATGCAATCGAGAAGAGGCCTCACCTCTCTCTTGACGTCGGCGGGATCGAGATGGTCTAGGACGAATTCCTGGACGTATTCCCTGGCTAGGTGGTCCTCGGCCTCCATCTTCACCTCGTCGACCTGAACCTCCACCTCCTGGGCCTCCACCTCTTCTACCGCTTCGGCTGCGGCTGCATACGGGAGAGGAGACCCCCCGCGGCCTCCACCGCCTCCAGCACCTCCACCTCCACCGCCAACGCCGACACCCGGACAACCCGTCACCGTGTGGGTCGTCGAAACCACCTTTCGAACCACCCGGACCCCGGATCGGCCGAAATCCGGGAAAGTCACCCGTCCCTACACCAAACCAACGTTCAGAGTCCCCGAGGGAGAATCGAAAATCCTCTTTCAACCACACAAAACGAAACTGGAGTTACAATGGTGGTCGTCAAAACCACTTTGGTTGGCCTGATTGATACCGGATGATGATCCTGCCTCTCGATAGTACACTGATCTATGTATGATGATCTTCAGTAAAACGCACTTTGGTTGGCCTGATTGATGTCGGATGAAGATCCTGCCCTTCGATAGTACACTGATCTATGTATGATGATCTTCAGTAAAACCCACTTTGGTTGGCCTGATTGATGCCGGATGATGATCCTGCCCTTCAATAGTGCACTGATCTATCTAGGTAGCTGATGAAGACGAGTCGCAGGTCTTAGGTGTTCGATAAAGCCCACTTTCCTTAAATGATCAGCTGATGCAGCGTCGACTAATAAACTCTATTCGCAAGTTACACCTGTTAATCGAGTCTCTCGCCGATCAGGCTCGACCTAATCGGTCAACAAACTCGAACAATGCCGGATAAAGGTGCTGTAAAGGACTCTCCCATATCCTTAAATGCAATTAAAATCTACAACCCCGCGAATGAAGTCGAACTGCAGGTTTTAGGTGTTCCAGGACTAGGACCTGTCCTGACCACACAACAACCGAAGTTGCTGAACAAGGATCCAGAAGATGCTCTTGTATCCTGATATACAAAGTCACTGAACTCCTGCAGGTGGCCAATGACGAGTAGCATGCGTTGCACAAGTCGGGTTCGATTTGACCGATCAAGAAGCACGACGTTGACGTCTTCTTAGCAGTTGTGTCTGGATGAATTTACACCAAGGGTATGTGGTTGCGCGTTGCGTCGTTTGGACGTACGCGCGGAAATCCTCCTCGACGCACGTAACGAGGAAGAGAACCAACGCTGTGTATCAACAGAGACTCTCCTTGGACCTCCACTGAGCGTGAGGTCGTTTTATCTAACTTGGGTATCCTGGAGAGACTTCAACAAGACCAGCCAGGTCCTCGGATCGCCAAGAAGATCACCCGTAACTTGCTGCAAGGCATCTTCAATCCAGCGAAGAACCAGCAATCCAGACTCGAGTAATCCAGTGTGGAAAAACCTGGATAGGGTCCTGGAGACAATGTGAAGATGACTTCCTAGATGAGTTTTGAGTAAATATCTTCAAAATATCTTTGCAAGAGGCGAATCCTCCTAGGAAGGTTTCAAAGCCCCGGAAACTTGGATGAACACCGGGGAACCGCCCAAACTTGCAGGCGACATAGCTTCAGATGTTGAGGAGGATCTTCGTCCACTTCAAGGACCTTTTTCAACTAGTAAGCGCCACTCTTCCCCGATCCTCGACCTTGCCCAAAATCCCCAACTTCTGATGAACCCCTGTGGAAGATGCGAAGTTCAAACCTCTTCAACTTCCACCCCACTCTTCGCCGAGTCTCGTTCTTGAAGAAAACCCTAAAACAAGAGTTTCCCTGGAATTCAGTAGAACTCTCTTCCAAGATGCGAGGTCGAAACTTCCTCTTCCCCGATGCTCGACCTTGTCCAAAGTCCCAAAATTCTAACGAACCCTGTCGCAGATGCGAAGTTCAAACCTCTTCATCTTCCACCCCACTCTTCCCCGAGTCTGGTCCTTGGAGGAGCCCCAAAAACAAGAGTTTCACCCCGATCGTCGATCTGGATGCCACATGAGTTCCACCGCGTCACTTCCGTCGTCACTGAAACCCCCCTAAGCACAGGACCCGGAAGTCGCCCTGGAAGCCCCCTGACGAAGGTCCGCCCGTCGTAAGCACCACCCGCACAATCAGTCGGGCACGCGCGCAGCCCTTGTCCGAGGTCAGGGAGGCGGCGCGCCGTCCGGGCGTCGAAACCGCGAGTCTCCGGATTCGGCTCGGCGCACCCTGGAACCGAACCACTCGGCTTCGGACCTCTGGCCTGAGGGGGCGCCCTGGTATATCGCCAGCGTCGCGCGGCTCACTCGCGGCTCGCTGCCGGCCGCCGAGAGCGGTGCTCTCTCTTTTTCTCTCCGACTCTAACGCGGAGGAGTACGAGACATGCTCCGAGCAGGCGCAGAAAAAAGTGAGATAAACATACTAACTGGTATCGGAGGGAGGGAGATAGACATATATGGGGGGAATCGGGACCGAGAGGGAGAAGCGATGAGGGGCGACGCGGGGGCAAAAGAGAGAGGGGAGAGATAGGTGGCGCGGGTGGGATCGAGAACGAGGGAGAGAGACGATGCGGGTGGGCGTGAGAGCGAGAGAGAGGCGAGAGGCTAAGGGTGAGCGCGAGGGCGAGGAAATCATGCGGGTGGGTGCGGAAAGGAGAGAGAGAGGCGCCGCGAGCGGGCGCAAAGGGGAGGGAGAGAGACGGTGCGCCCCGACCTGCGCCGCAGGAGATGCGGGCGGCGAGTGGCGGCCGGTCGGGCCGGCGCGGCGCGCGCGCCACTTGGTGACGTCACGCAGGAGGTGTGGTCCGTCCTGGACAGCCCTCCCGGCCCGAGTGAGATTGGTTCCACTGGAGCGCCCCCGCCATTGGTCCCCCACTCTCCTGCGCACCCGCCGCGCTGTCACCCCTCTCCCCCCTCCTCCCTCCTCGCGACCTACCTGCTCCCACCCGCCCCCCCTTCCGAATCGGCGAGACATTAATTCTTAAAGTCGTTATTATAATTTGCTCGACGCGAGGGGGCGCGCTTTTTATTACGCCCCTGACACCACGACGGGGCTCGCTTAGTGGAAACCGCGACTTGCTTTATGCCGCGGCTTATTTCTATGGGTTCTTTGCCCGATTTTAATTTCCCACATTTCTTTATACCGCCGCTTCCGTTTTTCGGCTTTTCGCTCGGACATGACACCTTTTTGGCGTCGGTGAAATTGACGTTTATGATACAGACGGAAGGGAAACCTTTGGCACGGATTTGGGGTCGGGAAGACTTGGGACGTTCCTCCCTCGTTTTCTTCCTTTTTCTTCCCTTTTTTTCCCCCTTTGGCGAATATCAGGAGACAACCGCGCAAATCGAGGAATCGCATCTAAATAGGTTTCCGCAGACGTCCACGAATCTACCTCGGGTTAGGAGTCCATAGCCATTTCTGGAACGCCAGGACTTTAAAATGCTTCATGAATATCAAATTTTCCTCCTCCACGCTTTTCCCTCCACCTTTCGTCCTCCTTCGAGGTTTTGCGACCTCTTCGCACCCTCCGACATCATCCACCCTTTCAATTGTGCGAATCTCTACGCAAATCGGGCCTAAACCTCACGACCGATTTTCGGCTAAAATGAAATAAGGAATTGCGTGAACGATAAAAAAAAACAAAAGGTACAACAAAATATTCTCATATTCTCTAACGCACATTGCGTAATCGCTCGCTCCTTCAATTTCACGAAGTTCAGCCCTCTTACCTGTATTCTCTTCCTCTTTCCATTTTTAATCACAAGAAAAGATCCCTAGGTATTCCCCTAACAGCCATTACGTGAGCACCGATATAATCCCTATAAAAATATCGTATATCTATATCTTTAAATCGTGTATTTCCACCTGAGAAAGTGGAAGTTCATAAGCGTCCTTCTACGTCCTCCGAAAAAAGCTACCCACCTCGAGACTTTAAGGTCTATCCTTATCCTTGCTTTAACCTAGAAAGCCGCGGATGTCGGAGAATTTTGTTGGTCTAGACGGAAGGTAGAGTCGAGACCCAGAATAGAGCGAGGACGCCGATAGGATTGGCCATTCGGTGGCCGAGGAATTTGTCGACGCTGCGGTTCGACATCCTCCAGGTCCGCCATCTTGTCTCGGGGACGCGCGTCGCTCGGCACGCGCACACGAGTGCGTGGGCCGCGCGTCTTCCAACAAAGCTTACACAAATATTTCCAAAGTAGTCCACGCTCGATCGGTTCTGCAAGCCTTTTTGCCCGGCGAGTCTCTCGCCTCGACGTATATTGTGTATACATGTGCATGTCACATGTCGAGTGCACATAAACTCGCTTAAAAGCGCATTAATGCAAAGCTGACCAACGACGCCGCTGGAAAGGTCAGGAAAATTCCAAGACTGGGATTGTACCCTTATGATGATATGAAAGGGTCATATGTATATGATAGGGTCATTTTATATGTATATGAAAGGGCCACACCATATCATTTGAAACATTACCACGCAATTATGGAGGTTCTAATGAAGGTCTTAAACCTCCCGAAATTTCATCTTTCGAGATAACAATTTTGTCTAAATTTTTGTTTCCCGGTGCAGCCCGATACAAAGAAGATCGGAGAAGGTCACAGATAACCAGAATGGAGGTCGACACTCCACGAGTATCGGGAGGGAAATAATAATATTTAAAAAGTGCGGATAAACGTTGGGGGTAAAGTCCGAAAACATTAGCGATCAGCCGGGTGAAATTTCGATTTTGAGTCGCGACTAAATCTGCGATTTACTGGACAATTTCTCATACGTATAATTATAGAGTAATCGGGAATTGATTATCCGTTAATTATCCAACGAGATTTTCTAATCCGTCTTCTGGCTTCTAGAGCAGGAATGAATATATTTCTTACGTTATTTTCTTCTCTTCGTCCCTTATATGGAAACAAAGATGGCTGCCCCGATAACCGTGAAACAGCCGTCGGAGGGACGATTGTTTTTCGAAAAAGTTTCGAGAAGTCTCGCTGGTTGCATATCGAGGCGTCTTGGCTGGCTAGCAACAAACTTTTACCCCAAGATTTACGAGTGAAATTGCGAACCCGATAGCCAAACAGCGAAGTTCCTCCCAACGGCGTCCGGCCGCCATCTTGCTTTTTTCTTCCCGCCAAATCTGAAATCTCGAATCTCAAGGCCATTAATCCGTCCCCGGACGAGGTATAC